TCTCAAATTTTAAAAAAGCAGGTATCGACGAAATGCGACGGTGGGGTGAGTGTCTGCACTCTCAGAGAGTGCATGGGTGACACTTTCAATGGGGCACTGCAAAAAGTCAAAGCCCACAAATAATTTGTGGCATTCCGTACATAAAGTTTTAATTATTTTACACACTAAACATTATGGAAATTTTTTTTATAATTCCTCTCTTTATTGTACCTTTATGTGACCTGGTTTTTCTCTGTTAAAAACCAATTCCACCGACTTTTACTGAGATCTCCATTTTTGTCGTCATTGCAAATCCCGCGAAATTTACAACAGAACAATTAAATTCAGTCCATTTTTTCAATTTTCGCCCGAAGTGCCATTACATATAGACTTTAGAGAATTCGGCTCATGTACGTCACAAACGGTAAAAAAAAAGGTTACACAGTTTAAGTGTGTTTCGTAATCTTTGATCAACTCATTCTCGAGTCCTCCGTTTTGCAAACAAACGAAGTTTGGTCAAATTGTTCGGCTTATCACGTGAACCGAAGCTCATTTTCCACCTATCCACAGCTGTAAAAAGGATGATATGACTGCATGTTGCTGCCTCATAATAATTGTCCACGAGGAAGCGGAAGGGTTGAATCCTCAAAAACAAAAGCTTTAACCTGTCGCCAATAGGTTAGTGGAGGGTCTCTTGTTGTCTTTCAATTATAATCTTTGCAATCGATAAAAACCTGGTTCACCTTTTATGTTGTGACATTATGGGGGCCATAAATACAGGAACTACTAGAAATGGATTTCTCAAGTCTTAGTTCTTAATGCAAAGGACTCTACTTCCACCGAGTTCTCAATTTTTTCATCATTGAAAATTTATCGTAAACCTCGCGAAAATTTAAAAAAACGGGCAACAGTGAAAGGCGACAGCGGAGAGGGTGTCTGTGTGAGTGACACTTTTTTAATGGGGTACTCAGGCGAGGGGAGGGGGTCGGGCAGGGGGAGGGGGGCGAATGAGGAGACGCGGTTATGTGGATAAGCCTCTGCGGGCCAATTATAATGAGGACGAGGACTGGCGGGGGAGGGAGCCGCACGCACACTGTTGCCATACAGCACGCTTTTTAAAAATATCCGTATAAAATATGGACATTTAATCGAACAACTTGACAACCCCGCGCACGTATCCCACATCCCACCTGTTTGCAGTGTGCACGCTTTCCGGGGGCCGCTTTCCCGGGCGAGAGCCGGGGACGAAGTCGCGCGCGAGGCGTCTAATTCGCCGCCCCTCTGACGTAAGAGCGTATCTCGACGTCCACGTGAGCCCTGTTCCACGTATACATCCGTGCTTTCTGGGGCTCATGCGGGGACCGGGATGCGCCCTTACGCCGGAGGAGCGTCTAATTGAAGCCTGGGTATTTGCGTCTAATCTCTTGTTTATTCAACTCGCAATAACAACTCCGCAAGGACGATTTAGAGCTCGCCAACTCCGCCGCCGACCGGGGGGGGGGGGGGGGGGGAGGAGGCGGAAAAATTGAGATCGCGACGATAGTCCATGAGAAGCTCCGGAAAAGTCGCTCTTGCGCCTCGGAAAGTTGTCTTGCGGTTCCTATATTACACATCTGTTTTGGCAGTCCCGAAAAGATTTTTTTTTTCTTCCTGGGTGATTGTCGCATTAGGTGGTTTTACAATTTCCAAGGAAACACCCAGATCCGTTGAAACATTTGCCTAACAACAAAACTGCACGAGGAAAATTTGGAAGAGCTTGGTGATTCTAGAAAAACTATTATTGAATGACACATTTCCTGTGTTCACTGGAAAAAAAAAACACATTCGATCTAGAGACCAGGCTCTTGAACACATTAACAAGAAAAAATACTCTTGTTCAATCAGATTTTTGCTTAAATCAAAAGGAAATCCGCTCAAATTAAGAGGCTTGGTTCTTGATTAAAGCAAAAATCCGATTGAGTCAAGAGTATTTTTTCTTGTCGATGTTTTTAAGAGTCTAGACTCAAGATCCAATGTGTTTTTTTCCAGAGTTGTTTGGCTTACTTGAGTTTTTTCTTCGGGAAGAAGAGAAGACGAGTTGGCACTATATCTGCTGAACTATGCATATGTTAAACCAAAAGGTCCGTACAAAATATGAGGAGCACGGTAAATAAGATAGGGTCTGTGCAATGGGACGGGCCTTGTATTCCAGGAGAATATTTTCTTTAACTTTTTCAAATGCACAAAGGAGGAGAACCTGGAAATTTTGGAGCAAATTTGTCCCAGAAGAATATTTTCTCTAACTTTTTCAAATGCACACAGGAGGAGAACCAGGAAATTTTGGAGCAAATTTGACCCTGAAAGATCAAAAATTGCAGAGGATATGAGCCCTGAAATTCCAAGACAAGAATACTTAGGTTATAGGAAACCGTGGTTTCGAATTCTGCATACAGTTAAGGAGAATTTCTCCTGGAAAAGAAAGTTCGTATTCACAGATTTAGCCACAGATGCATTTAGGATAAAAAAAGATATCATTATTGAGCTCTAATGTGGGAATCAATGAGTGTTCAATGACGTCATCAACAGGAGGTGTTCCGATGCCGTATCAACAAGTCATTTTATTCAGTCATCACCGGGTGTTACGATGACGTCGTCGACGGGCAAACTTGATTGAAATGGGATTTCAAAGATGAAAGGGATGTCCAAAGACATAAAGGCGGAGAGCTAGGAGAAGAAAATGAAGCCACCTCTCCTATTGGTTAGAGCAGCAGAAAAACTAATACTTTATCTGAGATTCCTGTAAGATTCCTCCTTGTTACCAAGCCAAAATAGCTGTATTATAAAAATTCAAAAGCCCAATTTTATTTATTTGTTCGTTTTAGGCAAATAAAACGAGATTAGAAGAAGAAATGTGGAAAAATCAAGAGGACAAATTCAAATCAAGTTTCGTTTTCCGCGCATGGATTTACAGCAACTTCATGTGAGATCCCTGTAAGATTCCTGCTTGTTACCAAGCCAAAATAGGTTTATTATAAAAATTCAAAATCCCAAATTTATTTATCTGTTCGTTTTAGGCATTTAAACTGAGATTCGAAGTAGAAATATGGAAAAATGAAGAGGATAAGTTCAAATCAAATCGTTTCCCGCGCATGGATTCACATCGCCAGAATGGCTTCACTTCTTTCCCGTGCTTTTAGATACAAGCACTCCGTCTTTATGTCTTTGGGATGTAACGCACTTATTTAGAGAAATCGCTCAAAATTTTTTAGAGGGATCAAGTAAATGTCTGAGGAGAAACAGGCACTTCAGCTGGATGTCGCGCTCGGAAGTTGAGAGAGAAAACGCACGGCAGACCAGGAAGGAAGATTGACCCGCATCTTACAAAGTATGTGTATTGGAACTCTTCAATGTAGAGCTCTCTTCATAAAATCTTTCTTGTGAGGCAACAGGAAAACCCAAAAGCAGCCTGAACTTTGTAGTCTGTTTATTTCGATAAAACCCTTACGGCGAGGAAGAAAAGGTGAGAAAGGGGGCGTCGATAAAGAGTCAAGTGGTTGCTTGTGTCAACATACTTGAGATATGAACTTCAATTACGCTGATTTGCAGCGAAAGCGTTTAGTTTGCTTACCTCACGCTACTCCGAGGAAGTTAAAACTGACAGAAAAAAATCACGCAATCACGCATTCGCCCCTGAATTGAACCTATTTATGTAATAATAAAAACAAATTAAATGAAAAAAAAAAACTCATATGCATTAGATTTGTGTGTCATGCAATTATTTTTGATTTTATTTTATTCATTTGCAAAAGTTTTTTCTCTCTTTTTACTATAGAAACGTCTAACTGACTGAAATCAACAGCTTGAGATCAAAACGTGTCCGACAAATAATAATTCAAATAAACCTGATGCATATTCCAGAGAGAGTTCAATTATAGTTTCATTTTGGAAAAAGTGAAGTCAAAATTTCAGATCCCCAAATACAAATCGACACTATTCACTCTTTTACATGAGCGTTTCATGAAATAAACTAGCTTCTGCTGAATACAACATTATTAGAATACTACAGTATTCTAATAGCGAATCAAGTATGATTTGTGAAGAGAATAAGACTCGGATTTTAGAAAATCAGAAATTGAATCAGAGTGGCAATATTAGATATGATTTTGCTTAGAAAAGTTTGGTCGTTTCACTGTATTTAGATTGCTAAATCTGGGAGATGAGCAAGCGTTACAAAGGCCGCTCAAACTTCGAGTTCCTGGATATCAAAAAACAATAGAGATATACTTGAAACATCAAAATTGAACCAAAAGACGAAAAATAAAAAATCTCAATCTTAGTGATTACCTGAAAAGATATTAACCTCAAAAAATAATATCATCTACACATTTTTATTCATGAAAAAGAATCTTACTATTTTATTATTACTACCCATCTAGTGGCGCACTTAAGCAAAGTTCACATCAAAATATAGGGGCATTTAAGAATCAGCAACATTTCTTGGCTTAAAGAACAGAAAAAGCAGAATTGATTTGGAGGGGTACGGTTATGAAGGATAAGTGCATTCTTCCTTCGCCTTCAGTTTTGAATGAGGGCCAAAAAATCCTCCTTGCTGCGACTGTCCGAGGATTCGGATTTTCAATTGTTTACAAATCCATCTTTGCAATAAATTATGTTAAATTTTATCTGAGGATTTTGACGCTATCTCTTTTTTTCATGCGTCTCTATGTTCGATAAAAAAATTCCCTATAATTACAAAATCATTTGTCCTTTTTTTAAGACGCTCATATGAACCTCTGTAACATTCCTTCTTTTTTTAGATTTGGGTTGGATCGAGGAACACATAGCAAAGTCTTCTCATTTAAATGCGACTTTTCAAAATATTGTGTTGTATAAAATAAAAAGGTTCCTAAAATGTTTGGGGAAAGAGGTGTTTCCTTGCGCAAATGCAGGAAACGCCACAGAACTCAGCTCTCTGCTCGTCGTTTTGCTTCGATTTGAATTCCTCGCCGACTCTTGAGTTTTGCACCTCCTATCATCGATTATTTTCCCATTATCTTCAAAGAGTTTGCGTTGTGCATACATAATGCTGGTATAAGAACGCTGGAAATTCTGCTTCAGCCCTTAATTAGTAACGCATGTTCTCTCCGAATTCACGAGAAAAGTGGTTCACAACCAGAGTTTGCCTCTCCTCAAGTGAGTTCAGTTCTTAGTTTTTTGTACAGTTTTTCAAACTATCTTGTGTTTTTTGTTGCGTAGTGCTTTGATTCATACTTTGTCTAGGCCCATTTATTTAATACTAACTCAACAGGATCAAAAAGGATTTTTTAACCTTCTCCACACAACATCAACGGATTTCATGTAATTTTAGAATAATTTTTGAGAACGCAAGCTATGGTTCGTTCCGAAATGGACCACTGGACAAGGTACAAAGTTAAGCATTCTGACACATGTTTTCTGACCAGTATTTCACATAGAACACGATTTGCGCTACAAAAATCACAGAAATTAACTCCTAACTAAGATATTCAAAGTTTCTTGACGCGTGATTTTAAACCTCCCGCTCATGAAAGCACGAAAGTCTACGTGAGTCGAATCGCGCACTCAACTTTACCATGGCAATCCCTGCAATATGACAATCGAGCAACCTCAATCTCGCTTTGACTAAGCTATAGCAAATTGTTTGCACTTTGAATGATAAAGGTTAGAAAAACAACAATGCTCGATTGAGAAGCCTGCCAAAAATGTCGTGAGGCGCGATTTGACTCACGCAGAGAAGTGCGTTTCTTGCGACCGGGTTTTGTTTTCAAAATTCCCTTAACCAATGTAAAATAAACACTTTAATATCTTACAATTGAATCAGTGAGAACGAAAACACACCAACTCGAACAAATGAAAATAATGAAGACAGACACGACACTGCACAGTAGGTGAAAAATTTAGTCCAATAACAAGACTTTTGGTGCCGAAAGACAAGTACTTGAGGACACGTTAAAGGTCCGAGTTGGAAAAAATGCACTAACTTCATACCCTTTATAAAAATTGAATGTCTTTAATGAAAACTGAACATTTTCGAGTTACCGAGTTGGTGTGTTTTCGAACTCACTGATTCAATTAGTTAGGAAGTGATTTCAGTAATTTTCGATGCAAGAATTGTGTTCTACGTGAAATTCTAATGGAGAAACATGGTTCAGAATACTCAAATTCGTACCATGTCTAGTGGTCCATTCCACATCCAATTCATCACGCTTGGAATAAAACTCATGCTCTCAGAGACCACAGCACTGGCCACTTCTTTCAGACAAAGCATAAAAACGGACGCATACTAGTTTCATTCACAGAGTTGATCCGTCGTTAAAAAGCTCCCGGTGGCAAGAGCACCTCGTTACACACTCGTGCTTAGGGTGCTAATGGACTCTCGGCGGAAACCCAGTCAAATTTTCTCTTGAAACTCGGGCAACCGAAACCGGATGAGCTTTTCGCGAGGTTTCGTAGATTTTTTCACAAACCGGCAACCTCAATGTGAACGTGTCTTAACAGCCACTTACACGGTCTTTTCCTACTTCTTGAAAGTGTCATTAGGCTGACTTTACGCTCTTGGTTTACGTAAAAGGTCTGAGAGCAAGAGGGATGTGCATGCATCGTTACAAACTGCTTTTTACGAGAAACTTTCCCGGACTCTTGTCACGTAGCGTGGCGTGTATACGTGGAAAAAACGATTTGCTTAATATCACTAATGCTTATTTTGTTGAGGCATTTTTTTTACGTTGAAAAAGTGACCATTTAAAATGCGTAGCTATCATGTTATCTTATTGGGGTTTAAGATAAAATATGAAGGTGGAAAATGGTCGTTCTACAATGCTGTTCTTCCAAAATCTGTTCACTACTTGGAACATGATTTTAATTCCTTGGAATAGTTAAGATTTTGAAGTATGAGTATCTTTATCAGTTTAATCAATATACGTTGCTTCTATAATATATTTTTGAAGAGAAGTGGTACATGGGGTTTCAATCTGCTGAATTGTTCGTCAAACACAGGAGTCCGCCCGTATAAAATTAAACCGCTTCCTCAGGTTTTTATCATCGATATTGCCTTGTCATTTTTTCTTTTTCATCCGCGCTTTAAAGAACTTTAAAATCTCATTTCATATTAGTTCAATTATTTCTGAAATCCATTGTAGAAGCAAGGATGCTATTATTTGAAATAAAACTCTCAGTCACGGCTTTTGGAATTATGACTTAAGCGAGTTTATGGCAGTTCAAAATTGATTATATTTGATGAATGGTTTTGAACAGTATTCTTTAAATTATCCAGATTAAATTAGGAGCGAAATTTTCCATAGAGTTCACAACAAAAACATTAGTTTTCCTAGATTTGCATGATTTCTTCGGAAATTTGGCAATGTGTAGACGTAGTTCTACGTACATAGAGTGGCGTTGCATTAAACATCTTATGCAAAAAGGTCATCGAAGAAGAATAAATGTTTCAAACGAGACTCGGTTTGTTACCACGGCAGTTCATGGGAATTATGTGTAAAGCGACGGCAAATAAAAACGCCTTCAATAAAGGGTATAGGCACACCGAGCTCCTAGGAGGTGGAATAGTCGTATCACGCCCCTCGGCACATACTTCTACATTTTGTTTTATAGACCGTGTAGTTTTTTGCTGCCGTGCAAGGGAAAAATGCCGTGTGAGCCTTCAGACATTGCCACATTTCCTTCGATAAAAAATAACTTTAATTGGAAAATTGTGAATATTTCCCTTCAAATTGTTTTGACAATTTTGTTCGCGAAATAATCTGAAATATTTCCAAAGTTCGAAGAGAATATGCGTAACTCTCCTCAAAAATGCAAATTTTACAACAGGGACAACTCTGAAATGTTCATACGACGTTTTTCCTTAGGACGGCGGTTAAGATGATTTTTTGGCAGTTAAAAAATACATTAACTTTAGAACATTGATGTGGATATTTTCTTTAAGTTATCTAGATCAAATTATGAGTAAAATTTTCCGTTAAGTTAGCGAAAAAGTCTTCAGTTTTCCAGGAGTACGAACATTTGACAACAAGCGAATGTAGTTTTTACACACTGACATACCACGATGGTAAAGGAATTATGCGTGAAGCGACCGAAAATAAAAACGCCTTCAATGATTTGAATAGGCACATCGAGCTTCAAGGAGATCGAGCAGTGATACCACGCCCAACAGCGCATTTATTCTTCTTGCGTGTCATAAATTGTGTAATTTTGTTGCTGATTTTTTGGCAGTTAAAAAATTAATTACCTTTAGGAGTTCATTTGAATATTTACCCTGAAATCATCTAGATCATATCGAGTGTAAAATTGTGCGTAAAGTTTAAGAAAAAAATATTAGTATTCCGAAAAATGCGGATCACTTTAAATAATCAACCCGCGGTAGAATGAATCGTCAAATTTGGATAATTTGACGCGGTTGCGCAAAAGAAGGCAATCGCCCTTCCCCCAACGGAAAATAAAATATCAACGGTGAAATTACCAGACCACGTTTCTTGGTTTGCGACGCTGTAGACTTCCTGACAGATTTTATTTTTTAAAAGAGAAACCATTTGACGTCAATTCTTGAAAACTTCCGTGTTTTTGCCTCTTTATGAGAAAAAAAAACTCTGTATAAATTTCAAGAAATAAGATTGATTTGTGCTCCTTCAAAAAAATGAAATGGGAGCTGTGATTTTTAGACACCGCAAACGAGATACGTTGTCTGGTAGTTTCACCGTCAGTGATCTGCCTTCCCCCTAAAATTTTAGGAGCCACCGTGGCCGGAAAGCCCAATTTTCAGGAGCCATCTACTATTTTTTGGGAGCCAAATTAAAGTTTTGCATACAGGCCATGACGATGCTGCGAACGGTGCGTTTAGAGAGCGCTTCGTCAATACCGCTGCTTCTCGATTGCGAGTTCAATCTTTCAAATTTTTTAGGCGCCACGATGGCCCAGCCCCCCTCCCATTTTTAGACGCCAATGCCCGATTTTTAGGCGCATTTGGCGCAAGGCGCCCGGGGAAGGCAGAACACTGTTCACCGTCAATGTGCGACGCAAAATTCCAATACGTAATGTATAGCTTTGAACTTGGGAGACATCGATACAAGAAGTTGACCTATATTCAAGGCGCGAGAGAGCCTTATCTCTCGAATCCCGGGCCGAAAAATTCCTGGAGGGCCCCGCGCATTGTTGGGCTGTCTGGAGGGTCGTAATTAGTGATGAGGAATGAGCCGGGGTGTCCGCCCCCGACACCGCTTCCGTATGCAGAATCGGTATCGATGAGTGTTGCGCCGCAGATAGCCGCCCGGCCGATCAATCAATCCCGCTCAACTTTTTCGCCCCGCTCTCGCTTTGTCTTATCTTTATCGAGCTGCGCCTTAATTTAATCCCTCTCTCACGGCGCTGCTCTGCGTTGCAGGTCTTTCGCCCCCGGAAAATGAGAGCTGCTTGCGCCGAGACCCTCTTCACTCTCCTCGGCCTCAATCTCCTGTGCCACGTCTTCAGCGCCGCCGACGCCTCCGCCAAACGTAAGTTTCTCGTTGAGCCTACGTAAATTAAGCCACGTAACTTTGTACGCACGTGAACGTCGCACAATGGATGCAGTCAATGCTGCCGTGATAGCGAGGCAAGCAGAGTCAAAATTTTGAAATCGAGCTTTCTTCAAAATTCGTCTAAAGCCCTGTGTCCACTCGTCAAAATAGCGTCAAAATGGAAGCTCGAGGTGAATCGACAAATACGATCTGTTCGCTATTTTTAATAAAAAAAGAGTTGCGCCGCTCTAATTTGAGTTGAAGCGCTCATCAATCGCATCAAGTCCCGACTTAGAGCCACTTATCGTTGAAATCGATTCACTTTGAGCTTCCAATTTGACGCCATTTTAACGAGTGGAGACAGCGCTAATCGCTTTTAGATGAAATCACCGAAAGTGCGCTAAAACAGCGAAATTCATTTTAATTGTATCAAGACGAGACATATGGGAATCCGTAAGTGCGCAAAAATTACGTAGTTTTGGGCAAGCCAGCAGTAAGTGACAATATTCCCCCAGAGAGCTAATGGAATCAGTGCTTTCAAGCAAAGTACCACCCTCTTCTGCCGGTGTCTAACCTGAGAATATGTTTGTTGCGTGTCCAAAATGCAACCTAGAAAACATGCAGAAGATAGCACTTACGGCTGTCTTGCCTAACGATAACCTAGTATGAAAATGAAAAGTACTTCACTTTTCGTGTGAGCGCCTGAGCGCCTTCACTTTTGTATGATACTGTGCAACACCTCTGTTGTGAAATAGTTGCTTGCAAGCCGTGGCACGCCGTGGCGTGGCGGGCGAGGGCGACCAGCGCGACACGCGCATTGGCGCCTACAAACCTAACAGGGATACTTCACGCATTGCGCAATGCGTGAAGTATCCCAGTTAGGTTTGTAGGCGCCAGTGCGCATGTCGCGCTGGCAGCACGCCGCTCCGCTCTGTGTTTGGCTCTGACGTTTGAACTTGCGGAGATAGCGTTTTTTAGCTCATAATTTTGAGTTGTTCGCACACTCCGCCTGGATCATTCTCATTTATGTTGATGAAAAAAAAAAAAATTACAGGAGAATAAACTGTGTTTTGTAAAAATTAAGAAGGTTCGGTGTCAAATTAAATATTTTCCAAAGCACTTTCATTTTTTCTTTTGCTGCTTTTAAGCTGGTTTCGGAATGAAATCGTTTATATTTGCTCATAAATTTTCACATTATTATTGTTTTAGTAACATTGGACGAATTTAATCAGAATAAGCTTGATTACACTCTGGGGTTTTCGCACATTTTACTGTTTTAATAAAAAAGCTATGAAATATTCTGACGTAAAATTCAAATTATCTGGGGAAAATGAATTGAAATTATTAGGATGTCTGTGAGCAGCTTCATGTAAAAAAAAGAAAAAAAAGAAGAAAAATATGTGAAATGCAGTTAGGATCATTTTAGTTAAAGTTTTCGAAAGATCCGTGTTTATTTACCAATTTTCAACTTCTCTGAAGGCCAATCACTTTAGATTTCCCTCCCAAGAAATGAGGAGGAGAAGTTGAAAATCTGAGGTAAGTACTCTGTGTAAGGACACGCGATTATGGCCGTTTCTTTAATCGCGGTAATTCCATGAACCCGTAGCCATAAAAACTGCCCATGATCAGTGATGAGAGTTTCTCATTCTCGCCTCGCTCCCAAAGTAATATGATTTACAGCCTCGCCTCTGAGCTTCTCGCAGCACTTTCTCACTTAAGCGTCGGCCGACGGGAAATTGGACTGACCGTTGAACAAAATGTCGCCGAGGAATCGCCCCATAAATCCGCTAAAATGCCACCATGGCGTTGACAAATTTTTTAGAAATATGCACAATTCGCCTTAAAAAATATGTGTGATTTTACCCCTACTGACAACAGCGTAAGTTGAGCACTATCAAGGAAGACAGAGACGATATGAAATGGGTGAGACAACTAATAGATTGAACAGAGAAAGATGCCTCACTGAAGGTCCTGTCGAAATGTCCAGCAAAGGAGCTTTTTGTTCTTTGTGCTCTCTGAACTTTTGATGTTTGTTCTCGGTCGAACACCCTCTTTTCGTCCTCAATAGTTCAGTGCATTTGTCATGATTAGTTCGTAGGATTTCACGAGATTAAAGGGCGACTTTTGTCTTGGGAAAACTTTTTATTTTCAAGGGTCAAATGATTCGAGAGCGCTTGGACAGCACTAATCAAAATAGGGACTTAGAGCATTGCAACGTTGCAAAAATCTAGGAATAAAACTGTTCAAAAATTAAACTTACATGATCATTTCTTTAGTAACGTTCTCGTTTCGTGGGATATCAGTGACTGTACATAAAATTCCAGAATTTTTGGGATCATAATTAAGCCTTGCAACCTCAGTAAGTAATTTAGTTACATAATGTGTAGTGTTCACGATAACTTTGGTACATGCATCGATGAACTTGATACTATGAAAGGGGAATCTCAAAGCACTCACGGTCATGCAGATTTTTCACAACATTACGGAAAATAATGTGACCAATTTTTCTTACTGAACAGAATTGATAGTGCAGTATCTTTAAGAAAAATTCGCATTTGCCAAAAAAGAGCCGGCGCAATTACAGTGTTTTCAAAATCGTGCGACTTCTTCTTCGCTTTTAAAATTACTTAATATACGTAGGATTTGAAAATTTACACCGTGATTTTCCTTAAAAATTGACAATTTTTTGGTGGGAAGTGAAAACTATTTGCTATTCTTGGAGATTATTAAGATAATTATGAAGAAGCAACATTTTTACAACACTGTTATTGCGCTGGTTCCTTTTTGCTAAATGCGGTCCAATGGATGAATACCATTACATTTACGAAAAGGTGAGTGGCCAATAGAGACACGAGGCACCGGGGGGGGGGGGGGTTGCCTGCGAAGCGTCCAAACGGCGCACCTTGTAGTTTTCACTACTAACTTTGTGTGCCTATTTCGGAGGATATTGAGGCGGGCACGTTTCACCACTTTAAAGATGCGTGTAATTAGTACGCATCCTTCATGTACCTCCGCAACTATAACTCCTTTTCTCTAAACACTTATCATAGCAACTCTTAGCCGTCGAATAAATCTCGCTCATTTTGAAAGCGACACCTCGAGCTTCATTGCTTGCGTGGCTTAATACCTGAGCTCTCTGGTCCGCAGGAAACTCACAGGACGGAATCCGAGTGCATCTTTCTTTATTTAGAGCTTCAGACGGGACCATTAATTTTCCGCGAGGATATCATCCAAAGCACACTTTGTGCAAAGCATGAAAGAGAGAGGCGCGCGCGCTCTGCGCTGAACAAGACGCGACTAGATTCGGCTGAAAGGAAGCAATATATGTGGCGACATTCTTTTTAGGGCTCCAGCTTGACTTGACACATTAGTTAAAGGACGTTCTCTCCGACGACGGCCGGGGGATTAGCTGGAGGGCATCCTTGTCCTGCGATGACACCGTCTTCAGTTTAGACGCCCCCTCTGTCACACCCCTATTGCCCCCCTTCTTCTGTCGCACAGGGTCGTATTCGCGGTCGATCCTTAAACAGCTCCTTTCCTCGGTAGGTTCTATATGGTTTACACTGTGATTAAGGGAGAATTGGACCGCGTTCAGCAGAAAGGAAACAAGCCACATCAGCACTTAAAAAAAAATATCGGTGTATTTACCAAGAAAAGGGTAAAATTACCGAGAATTCAGGGTTCTATTTGATCCCAGTTTTTTCTTGGTAAAATTACCGTTTGTGGAATTGGTAATTTTACAGAGAAATCTCCGTAAAATTATTGACTTTTTCGGTAATTTTACTGATCCCCGGTAAGAACGCAAATATTTTTTTATCAACTGTGGTAGAATTACCGAGATAAAATGGCAAGGTTACCGGGAATTGATTACCAATAAAAGTGGTATTCTCACCTGAAAAAAAAAACAGTAAAAATACCGGTTTTTAGGTAAGCTTACCTGTCTGTTTTGGTAAAATTACCAATAATTGGTAAAAAAGTGAGATGGTAAAGGTACCAGCGGACCTTGGTAAAAACGCCGACAATTTTTTTTCAGTGTACATATGGTTTACACTGTGATTAAGGGCGATAATTGGACCGCGTTCAGCAGAAAGGAAACAAGCCACATCAGTTATTGCCAAATTTAATTTGGTGATTAAATTTTTACAAGACAGCGTTTGCGGATACCTTTGAAATTTTTTAGGAATTTGCTTCGTACTAAGCAAAAAATTTACTGAAATTTGAACAAAACTCCGCACAACCGTTTCCATATAAAATATTAAACTGTCCAATTAAAGAGCCTCGCCAAAAAGTGGTGTTTTTTAGCCCCTTTTTTTATACCCGAGTTGGTCAACCGGACAGTGCTCAAATGAAGGCCTATGGTAAGGCAAACTTCCATGCAAAGTTTCAACTTGAAGTGACCCCTCGTTTAGGCTGTACAGCGTTGCCAATTTTTAATTTTTATGCGCGATACTCAAGGAATACTGGATTCATCATGGTTGAACAGACTAGTATACCCGAGTTGGTCAACGAGACAAGGCCTAAACGAAAGCTTATGGTAAGGCAAACTTCCAGGAAAAGTTTCACTTTGAAGTGAAACCTTGTTTAGGCTGTACAGCGTTGCCAATTTTCCAGTTTTATGCGCTATACTCAAGGAATACTGGATTCATCATGGTTGAACAGACTAGTATACCCGAGTTGGTCAACGAGACAAGGCTCAAACGAAAGCTTATGGTAAGGCAAACTTCCAGGAAAAGTTCTAACTTGAAGTGAAACCTCGTTTAGGCTGTACAGCGTTGCCAATTTTTCATTTTTATGCGCTATACTCAAGGAATACTGGATTCATCATGGTTGAACGGACTAGTATACCCGAGTTG